AGCAACTTAATGCAAACCCCCTAATATTATATATTAAATAAAAAGTTAGGGAGGAGAGGAAGTTTTTTTAAGTTAGTGAAATATTGGCATTTACCAAACATCTTTGGTGTGCCAAGCACAATACTAGGCCATGGCAAGGACAGAAGTTAATAAATTACTGTTAACAATACTTAAAAACCTCACAAATCTAGTAAACAAGGACAATACAGCATGCATATATTAGATATGAAAGGTACACAGGGCATAGTCTAGAAGTTCAGAGGTAGGAATGAGTATTACTATAAGCACTGATTTTAAAAAAACTTTCATTATATAAACTGGGTCTTAAATAGGATGATTTATGTTTTGTCAGTATTGCAAAGTGAAAGGGGTTACTGAATTAAAATGGTACAAGTTTTGAAATATTTATATACTGAATAACACATCTGTATGATGATACTGGTGGGTCTAATAAACAGTTCTATTCTAAAACTAGTTTCAAAAATAGTTTCCTTGGACTGGGGTTGTAGCTCAGTGGTAGAGCACTTGCCTAACATGAGTGAGGCACTGGGTCAATTCTCAACAACATATATAAATAAATAAAATAAGGGTCCATCGACAACTAAAAAAATATTTTTAAAAAAAGTTTTCTTAAAAATAAATCTGGAGGGCTGGGGTTGTGGCTCAGTAGTAAAGCACTCGCCTAGCTCATGAGAAGCACTGGGTTCAATCCTCAGCACTACATAAAAAAATAAACAAATACAATTTTAAAAATTAAAAATGAGTCTAGAAGCTTCTTCACAAAGAAAATATGGGGGGGGGGGCGGAAGCTCTCCCAAACTGTCACCAGAGCCTTAAATTTAATCAACTGCTAGGTATGCTATCTTCCAACAGTTTTGATAATTTTTGATCCCCCTAACCTTACCAAGACTACCGAAAGTAGTAAGGATGGTCACAGCCTCTACATCCCCAACAAAGAATATACCCAGATGTTTTCCACAACCCATTTCTCAGTTGTCCCATGGTRCAGATAAATGCCATTTGGCTGGTGATATGACCAAATAGGAAAAACTGATTAACAGTCTCAAGCAACCTCTACAAAAACAAGGCTAGAAAATAATTTGAACTGAATTGGGTATTTCCCTAAATTGGAGATACTCTACTGAACTGGTCCCATTTGGGGGGGGGGGGCAACAATTATAATCAACACTTGTGAACCTCCAAGACTATATACTTTTTATTTCTTGTATGAAATCCAGATCTTAATTTGCCTCTATTCAAAACAAAATGAAATACACCTTAGGAAATACACCAGGTGTGGTGGCACATGCCCGAAATCCCAGAACTTAGGAGGCTGAGGCAGGAGGATCATGGGCAGCCTTACAACTTAGTAAGTCCATGTCTCAAATAAATATGAGGCTGGGGTTGTGGCTCAGCAGCAGAGCATTCACCTACTACGTTGCAAGGCCCTGGCTTCAATCCTCAGCACACATAAAAATAATAAGTAAAGAAAATAAAGGTACTGTGTCCAGCTACAACTAAAAAATATATTTTTAAGAAATATAATTAAATATACTGGGGGATATAGCTCAGTGCTAAAGTATCCCTGGTTCAATCCCCTGTACCCAAAAAAGAAGTGATTATGATAAGCTTTCCTCTTCATAAAATACCATCTTAGACTCAAAGGTCATTTGGATCTGCATTAATGAATAGGTCAGCTGTTATTAATGATGAAATTACTCCAGAATTGCTGTCATGCCAAAATGGGGTGAAAAAAAAAATCACTAATACACCCTGCTATACCTGGGTTAATATTCTGAACCAAACGGAAAGGCCAACACAAAATTTGTCTCTTGTACATACTACAAGATATTAACAGATTTGGTATTGATCATGCTGGTCAGGTCACACTAATCTAAGTGTCTGAAGGAATCCTGATTTGGGGTAGAAAGGAATTATAAATTTTGGTGGGAAACAATTTTCAATGGGTTTCTCCTGTTTTGTTTGAAATCTTTACATTTAAGTTGACTATGGATACAGGTTTACAGTTTCCTTTTCCTATAGTCTGGTTTGGGCAAGGTAATATCTGCCCTCATAGAATGATTTTGGTTTTATTTTTCCATTTTGGGGGGGGTATGGGGTGTGGGGTACTGGAGATTGAACTTAGGAGCAATCGACCACTGAGTTACATCCCCAGCCCTACTTTGCATTTTATATTTTATTTAGAGACAGAGTCTGAGTTGCTTAGAGCCTTGCTTTCTGAACTCACGATCCTCCTGTCTCAGCCTCCCAAACCACTGGGATTACAGGTCACCAAGCCTGGCTACATTTTTTTTTTTTAATTTGCAGAGTTGGTATTACTTATGTCTTAGTTAAAATAAAATCTTTGTTTTACTATGATACTACATTTCACTAAAATTTATATTTATATATTCACTGCTTCCACAAATAATTTACTCTCTAATGATGAACTTTCAAAATGAATTTGCAACAGCATTCACAATATAATCATATGTTTCACTTTCAAAACAGTTAAATTCCAAAAGCTTAGAGGGGTTTTTTGGTACTGGGAATTGAATCCAGGGGTGCTTTGCCACTGAGCTACATTCCCAGTAATGTATTTTTATTTTGAGACAGGGTCTCACTAAGTTGCTAAGTGCCTTGCTAAATTGCTAAGGCTGGCTTTGAACTTGAGATTATCCCACCTCAGCCTCCCAAGTCACTAGTTTATAGGAATGTGCCACTATGCTCCACCAAAGTTTTTTTAATTGATGAATTGAATGGGAAAAAAATGAAAATGATTGGAAAAATTGGATTTTTTTCTTTGAAGTATCTAATTTTTTTGTAAAGTTCTTTTGCTAATGGAGCCAATCCATTAACAGTTATTTTTTTCAGGTGTGCTTATAAAAGTGGATTTATATATCTCTCTGATGCATGACTTTATTTAAATCATTTTCAAATTCCAAGCTTTTTGCACATATGAAATTGAAACAATAGCTGATGATGGACTGAACTGAATTTAAAATAAAATTACCTAGCACCATATTTCTGAAAGTCAACTTTAACATGTCACAACAGTTAAGCTCTTGAACGTAAACTTTATGGCTACACTTGCACACATCAGTGTTATGTCCAAAACTGATCTTGTTTTCTTGTCCTTCATGTCTGCTCTTTTGTAATCGTCTCCACCAGCGCCCAAAGCTGATTTTTTCTTTTCATGTAGGAGAAATATACTACCACTCAACCTGTACTTTAAGGTTGGCAGCCCTGAGAATTCCTTTTTTTAATGTAGCATGTAATGGATGTACTCCTCCTCCACAAAGCGGAGAAGGCATTTCCACATGCAACTAGTGATTTAAACACAGCAAAATTATTGAATCTATGTTCTCCTATCTCACTACTTTTTCATCTGAAGTCAATGGTCAAGCCAATCACCTCAACTGACCTTCTCTCACTTCATTCTAATTTGCTCTGCACTCCACAAGCACAGTAAACCTTAATTATAAAAATAATTTCATTTGAATATATTTGAACTTCATTCAAGGATCTTTGACAGTAAGTCCCCAGTGACTACAGGGCAACCAGACTATACCATATGGCACACAATCTGGCCTCAGTTTACCTGATCAGCTTCAGATTCAAATACTTTCCCTGACCATTACATCATATTTTAGTCACTTTGCTAGCTGTTCCCTAATCTATATACAAATAACACCATCAGTTTATGCTTCTCTTCTGTCTGTGCTCTTCATGACCTGTGTTCTTAGTTTGTGAATATTCTTGGCATAGCAATTAAGACACCATAGGAGTTTGTCAGTTGTTCAGAATAGCAGTCAGATTATTCACATTAACAACTCCCAATCCTTACCAGTGTGCCTGAGTTGAACATGTGCTAGAAAAATGATATTCCAAATATTCAGCTATGTACTACACTGACATTTACTTTCTGTCCTGAATACAAGTTTTAACATAATGGTTCTAAATAATACTTGAGGAAATGTAACAAATATGAACTTATTTTCCCAAAAAAGAGGGTGGGAACAATTGAGAGGGAAGGATAAAAAGTATGGAAGTATATGCTGAGTAGTATGGAAGAAAACGAATAAAGCTAGAAAGAAATTATGAGGAAAGCATGTGGCCTCTAATGTAGAGTACTACATCAAGAAAGCTCACTTCACCTGAAGTCAAAAATGCCCAGGGAGCAAAAGAACCAGAGAAGTAGTCTGTCAGGTCCACGCAGTCTGCGTGTGTGGAAGAGTTAAGGTGTTCTGCTTTGAGTAACTAGAATCTCGAGTTGAGCGGCTTGGGCCTCGGACACCACCCTGAAGACACACCCTGGACTGGCTTCTTCGATAGGGCTGATGGCCTAAGTGATGCACCTGACCACACTGCCCTGGAACAGGGAGGCTCCGCAGAGAAAACAGTGGAAAGAGAAGGACAGGTGCATAAAGAATTGGGGCGGGAAGGCCCTACCGATTCCTGAGCATACAGCAGTGCACAACATAGGCACGATCCTTGCCCTCGTGGTGTGGCTCTCAAGATGACTGTGGAAACGCGACTGCCCCTGAAGGACGACGCAGCATAAGCCCTAAATTCCCCCTCCCAGACTCCAGGTTCCTGAAGTCATTTCTGTTCAGAAGCCGGGCGGCGGTGGCCGCAGGTGTCCACTCCATGCCCAGCTTGGGCCTCCTCCCGTGACCCCCCGGCCCAGGACGGTCCCTTTGGTTCTCACCGAATCCTTTAATGAGCTCGGTGAAGACACCGGGGTCGCTTTCCATCAGGCACCACTCCCCGGCATTGCCCGTCATGGCCCCGGCCACACACCGCCCCGCTCCACCTCGCGTTCTCGGCAGCCCCCCGCACCAGCTGCCGCCGGCCACAGATCTCAGCAAACCCGCCGCCGAGCTCGTCAACCACACGTCACCCCGCCTACTTCCCGACAGCCTCCTGGCGCCGTCACCTGCAGCGCGACCCAGCGCAGGAAGACGCTCTAGCCACCCAGGAGACACCGAAACTCTAGGCCTCGCGGGAACCAGCAGCACGTTCGAAAGGGGCGGGGACCTGAGGAGAAAGGGCGGAGATTCAGAGCGCCGGAGGAGGTAACATCCGGGATCCTCGCCGTCTGGAGGGAGGGCGGTGCAGGAGAAGAGGGGCGGGGCTCGCTCCGGAGAACCGAACGTAGAAGTCCTGGTGGTGTTTGTCGGGCTGTGCTGCCAGTCCTTCTGCTGCTTTTGGTTTTTTCTCAGTGCTACGCAGGGCTTCTTCTGGCGGCCCTGTGGGTCCCGAGGGTCGGCCGCCAGGCACAGGTAAGGAAATTGCGGGCGGGGGCTGGCAGCTGAAGGCCCTTTGTGCGGTCTGAGCAACCCCGGGACGCGCAGGGTCTGACCGGTCCTCCATCCCAGCTGCAGAGGCCGGGGCAGACACTTCGCCAACCATCGTTCTCTTCCTCCCTGCTTCACACTCTGGGTAGCGAACCAGCATCGCTCTGGAGCGTTCTCTTTGGGCTCGGCCTGGACGCTCCGAAGGGCGGGTCCTTTCCGAATCCGGGATTGCTCGAGTCTGTACATGCATAGCTCCCACAGGCCGGCGTCTAGAGGTCCGGCTTCACTCCTCCTCTTTCTCCTCCTCCCGCGGCTTCTGCGCGCAGAGGCGTTGTCTTGGATTCTGGGTTTTGGAAGAAGGTGCTTTGTAGGAAGACAGAAGGCGAATTTATCTTAGAGAAAATGAAACACTGAATTTTTTGGAGGGGGGGGGTCCCTCTATGAATTAAGACCAAACTTTCTCATGCTCAGAAAGGAAACTGAAGGACTGAAACCCCAACCCTTTTTTGCCGGCGCCGAAGAAGCTGAGAGCAAAAATTGCCCCCTCCTCGGGTCTAACACACGCTAACTAAATTTGCATATGTACGTTTCCTGCCTTTTGTCTTATTTTGCACTCTCTTCTTCCCTGCCTCTCTCCAAAAGTTCTGCTCACCTTCAGGGACTGGGAAGATAGAACTTTTAAAACAATTTTCTCGTGTCTTCTTTCAAAGCTGGCTTTAAATAAAACCTGTTACCTACCAATTTGACTTTGAATATTTCTGATATTAGAACCTCCGACTAACAAATAACGGGGGAGAGGAGAGACATCTCTTCTAAAGCTCATGGGGATGATAGACTGGTGCAAGGGGATGTGCTGCCTCTAAGGAAAATTATGTTTTAAAACATATAGCATATTAATCTAAAACATTTGGGATGATTCTAAAACTAGAAGAAGAATGGAACAAAAAATGGCTACTTTAACTGAATCACCCTCATTCATCAGGTTCTTACAGGGTACTGTAGTATTAAAGTCTTGAATATGTGTGTGCTTCATTCCTTAAAAGCATTTTCCAAGACAGGCCTTTGGCTTGGAGGGGAGGGTGCTTTAGTGGATAGAACTCTTGACTCCTTCCTTCTCTAACCCTTGAGTTAGGGAGGATTGTGCTACAGATTTTGTGTGAAGCTGCAAAACACATGGTAAATTTTACAGAAAGAAAGAACAGCTTTTGTAAAACAAGCGTGAGTATATTGTGGAGCAGAAGCCAAAGTCTATGATTTGTTTGTTTGTTTGTTTGTTTGGGGTTTTTTTTTTTGTGTGTGTGTGTGTGTGTGTGTGTGCGCGCGCGCGCGCCCGCATCCAGCCCTATTTGTATTTTATTTAGAGACAGGGTCTCAATGAGTTGCTTAGTGCTTTGCCATTGCTGAGGCTGGCTTTGAACTCACGGTCCTCCTGCCTCAGCTTCCAGAGCCGCTGAAGATTACAGGCGTTTGCCACATCACCCAGCTGTATGATGTATTATTGACAAATACTTTTTTGAAGCTGGAATTTGCTCCCTAGACACTACCCACAGGTTAGTGTACTCAAAATCTGCACTTAAGATATTTATTTGGAAAATTTTGAGTCTCATAAGTCTAGCCTTATTTCCTTATGAACYATACCTATTAATGATTTCTTCAGTTGTGTTGACATTTAATACTGAGAGTTCACATAAAAAGCCGTATTTCTAAATCTGGARAAAAATGAGATCTGGCAACCAGTTGACATCTTTGTTTAGACTACAATGATGACACATTTGCTGCAATTCCTTACCAGTTCCTATTGCATTCCCTTTGATTTGATCCACTTATTTCTGTTTCCTGTCTGTATGGTAGAGGCATTTGAATATGGGGCCCTAGTTTTCATAGTGTATGTGTGTGTATTTATATACATGTTTTATTTTTCAATGATTACAATTACAAATGTCAGTCTTAACTACATTTTAAAAGGAATAAAAATAAATAAATAAATAAAAAATAAAAGGAATAAACTGTAAATTTGTTTGAATTCTTGGTGTGAAAGTTAACATTTTTAAGTAACAGATTAAAAGACATTCACCTCCAGTGGCTCAGGAGGCTGAAGCAGGAGGATCCAATCGCAAGGTCAAAGCCAGCCTCAGCAATTTAACAAGGCTTTAAGTAACTCAGTGAGACCTTGTCTCTAAATAAAATACAAAAAAGGGCTGGAGTTGTGGTTCAAGAGTTAAGCACCCCTGGATTTACTCCCCAGTACCAAAAAAAAAAAGAGAGAGAAAGATATTTGACTATTAAACTCAAGAAAAAATTGTGATTTTTAATTAGTTACTGGTAAAAGACTATGTGTATTGTATTTCTAATGAATGAAGCGGAAGGAAATGCTATTACATAGTGTGTTCTACTAGCATTTATTCTGCATTCTAAATTAAATCAAGACAGAAATAGCCAGAATATAAGACATTCGTAATTGATTTAAAATGTGGTCATACTTTTAATAGAATTGTGATTTAACTTCTCCCCAAGATTTTAATTTTTTAGAGGTTTAATGAATTCAGCTGTTTTAGATCCTTCAGAGTGGTGGGTATAAGAGATTAGGACAGACCAAAGAATAACTATATTTCTGCTGTTAATTTGGATTTACAACACCTCAGAAGTAGATTAACTCCTGACTAGTCTCTGACCTCACTCCCTGATCTACTGCATTCCAAACCACTGGCAATGGAGCGTAATCCTTTTGTGAAAGAGATGATGATAGCATAAAAAAGAAAAAATTATATTGCTATGTATGTCTGTATGTATCTCATATTGCTTTCTAAAGTCAAATATAAGAAGTATAAGGCTAAATATCACTTTTGCATAATGATTTTTCTGCTGCTTTCCACTTTGATAGTTTGATAACTTTGCCATACATTTCACCTAGCCAATTTTTAATTTCTATTTTCCTAATAAAAAGGTTTAGGATATAATCCCCAAATCATGAAGTACATTATTTTAAAGTATCCAGTGCAGTGATGGTTTTTAATATATTCACAGAATTATGCAACCATCACCAATATCTTATTTCAAAACATTTCCTACACCTCAATAGAAATTCCTCCGTTAGCAGTCACTCCCCCAGTTTTCCCTGCCCCTAGCTTCTGGTAACTATTAATGTTGTGTTTTTTTAATGTATGAATTTGCTTTTTCAATCTCATATAAATGGAACACATAGCCTTTTGTGACTGGCTTTATTCAAGTAACATGTTTTCAAGCTTTGTTCAAGATTTAGCATGTATCAGTACTGAATCCCTTTAATTGCAAAATAATAGTCCATTGTATGGATGGATATACCACTGTTTTTAATCTTTTCTCAGTTGATCATGATTTGGTTTCTGGGTTTTGTCTATTACATGATGTTGATAAGAACATTTGTCTACAGGTTTTTATAGGGACACACATTTTCATTTCTCTTGAATCTCTTGGTCATATGGAAACCATATATAAACTTTTGAGGAACTACCAGACTTTTTTTTTTAGTTACCAGACTTTAAAATAAAAAAAAAATAAATTAAAAAAGTGCCTGCATGATTTATATTCCAACTAGTGGCAGTGGCATAAGAGGGTTTCAATTTCTAAATTTTTACCAACACTTAAAATATTGTCCTTTTGAGGATAGCCATCCTAGTGGATGTGAAGTGGTACCTCGTTGTGGTTTTGTTTTGCTTTGCAGTGCTGAGGATCAGTCCCAGGGCCTTACTAATGCTAGATAAGTGCTTTACATGAGCTATACCCCCAGCCTATAACTGTGGGTTTTTGGTTTGTTTGTTTGTTTTTTAATGGAGGTGGGGGTTACCAGGGATTGAACCAGGGCATTCAACCACTGAGCTATACACATCCCCAGCCCTATTTTGTATTTTATATAGAGATAGGGTCTCATTGAGTTGCYTAGCGCTTTGCTTTTGCTGAGGCTGGTGGCTGGGATTATACGCATCAGCTTATCATTGTGGTTTTGATTTACGTATACTGATGATTGATGATCTTCATCATATATCTTTGTTCATTGGATATATTTGGAGAATTATATGTTCAGATTCTTTTGAYCATTTGCATATCTTTGGAGAAATAACTGTCCAAAACCTTTGCCTGTTTAATTGAGTTACAATTGTGTTATTTATATATTTTATATATACCTATGATTAGCAAATACTTTCTCTGTTCCATGGGTTATTGTATTGTTTTCTTTGTAGTGTCCCTTGAAACGTGAGTTTTAAATTTTGATAAAGTCCAGTTTGGTTTTTTCTTTTGTCACTTGTGCCTTTGGTTCTGTATTCTAATATCAATTCTCTTGACACCTTGTTCTGCAGTTCAGTTCAATTCTGATACTAACTACCTGGAAGTAGTATCACATTCCWCAAGTAAAAAGGCAAAGTCCTTAAAACTTCCCTTGATTGAGATACCAGTTGCAGGTGGATTCCCCAGCTACCCACACTTTTACCCTGCCAACTACAAATTCAAGGTTTCCACAAAACTTTCAAGATTAATTCATTAGAATGACTCATGTAATTTACTCAACAGTGATAGACTTAGGAGTGCAGTTTTATTATAAAGGGTACAACTTTAGAGCCCACAGTGAGTCACTTTGTTAGTATAACAAAGACTCCTACACTCAGGAAATTCCAGGGGTTTTTAAGAGCCTACCAGGAACCAAGTACAAAGACCAGATGTTCTTTATTATACCACAGTGTCATATTACTGTCCCATGGCAAAAGGTGCAACTTAACCCAGTGGAGAGGGAGAGATAAAGAATTTCCAGACACTTCTGCCTTTGTCAATGCTTTATTCACTCAAATCACTCAATACATTTTCACTCTGTAGGTTCTTGTTTGTTTGTGGTGCTGGGGATTGAACCCAGGGCCTTGTGCATGCAAGACAAGCACTCTACCATCTGAGCGATATCCCCAGCCCTCTGTAGGTTCTTAATCAAGAAAATTACAATCCTTAATGCTAGGCACTGC